TTCTCCAAAATATAAGTAACTAATTTTTTATTACATTCGGGCAACAACAGCTTAAAAAACCTTTCTTTTTTTAACTCTAGAAATAGTTCTTTTCGAGTAATTTTTACTGAGTCTATGAAATCGTTATCAATGCCTGAAAATAAAGATTTAATAAAACAAAACTTGGAAAAAGTTGGGACTAAAACTTGTGGAACTCGGTGGAACTTTTTTTAAAATGCAATGAAATCGATTATTAACTAAAAATCTAGCTTTCATGACTTTCTGCAAAATGTTTAATTATTTTTAATAATAATGCATTACTGTGTATATTAAAATTATTTTAAAATAAACTACTTACTGCTAGTTATTACATCCATACTTCAAAATATTAATTTGGTCTGCGATTATTGTGCTAAAACCGAACAAAATGACACTAAATTTTGACACAACTAGATGCGTTCTTGCAAGTGGTGGGAGTGATCAACTCTTGCGTAGCCTGTCAAACCGTTTTTGTTTTCCAGTGAAATTCTGTCGTTATTTCTTACGTAAGGAGTTCTTACGTAGACTTTGCATTTTAAATTATATGTATTTATCGAATTTGATCTTTTGATTTTTGTCGTCGTAAATAGGCTATTTTGCCCAGTGTGCAACGTCTTGATTTTTTAAATTAAATTTAAATCTATTGAATAAAAAAAAAATTTCAAAAGTGTTCCGGAACTGCGGAGTGTCCTCTTTTCTTTTTTGTGGTCATTATTGTTGTTTTTAAAAAAATTCCAAAATAGTAACATGCTTTTCTGAGGCAATAGAGCGAATTTCGAGTTGAACACGATCAAATTTGTTTATTTTTAGATAAATTTGAAGATTACAAGCCAAAAAAATTTTAACTTAAATTTAATTTAAAAAATCAGTGGGCCACCTCAAGACGTTGAGTAAAATTTTTTTTTTTTCAAAAATTTTCTTTTTTTATAGGCTACAAATTCCACCCCCAGGCTAAGGAAAAAAAAATTTCGCTCCACCCTACTAAACGCGGGGTGCTTTTCGCAAGCTTATGTTCTGCAATCGGACCCCTGCGACAATTGTAGACCCGGCTTTAAAGCCAGGACTACAATTGTCGCAGATCGCAAAACATAAGCTTGCGCAAAGCACCCAGCTGACAAAAGAACCTTGCTCCATCGCCACGTCGCGGGGTGCTTTTCGTAAGCTTATGTTCTGCGACAATTGTAGACCCGCCTTAAGAAATCTGTCACTACGAATTTATTTTTTATGTATAAAAAATATTTCAAATATTTTCATAACAAAACCAATGAAAAAGCAGAATAACAGATCACCAATATTTAAAATAAGAATAGGTACCTACCTATAAAAATTGAAGATTGAATTATGAGTCATAATAATTTATGACAATAATTATTATCAAATTATTTATTACTCTATTCTTTAAAACACCCTCTATTATCCATTACATTAAGTAATTAAAAGATTTAAATCTTTTGGTATGTAAATTTACATAGGTACCAAAAGATTTAAATCTTTATTATCAACAAAAGTGCTGAGCAACCTACATTATAAATTCTTACAGAAGATTATTTTCAGATGAATAAAAGGTATTAACTAAACATCTTGTAGACCTTTTTTTTCAACAGAGACGCAATACTTTATAAATTTGTTCAAATAAATATATTATTATACATATGCGTATATGCAATAACAGATTATACTGGCAGAATATACCTAACTATAGACTATAGTTAGTGATGCCAGATCTTTAGCGCTGAATATCCGTATTTGACCTAGTAGTATGGTGGGGATTAAGGAAAAAAATCCGTATAATTCCGTATTTCGTATTTTACACTTATTACGTAATTTTTTTTATCAATAATTTCGAGGAAATTTAATTTCCATGTTAATGATTTATTTTTTAGAATAAAAAATGTAGTATTATTTAATTTTTAAGTCCTGAGCAAGAAGGCAATTCTTTTAATTATTTTTTTCTACTCCTATTATATGGAATATAACCGTTCTAATATCACTTTTTAATGTGGAATGACATATATTCCTTAGAGTATTACAAAATGAGTTATTCTATCGGATGACGGAATAAACACTGGTGGCGACATCTCTGTGTTTAATATCTAACAAATTTTAGATAAATCAAACTTCACTTTCTGCTAATTAAATTATTTTTTTATGGAATTGCATATTCCGCTCGAGTGAAAAGTTTCACGATTTCACGTATTTCAAACTTGTTACAGAATATACTATTCTCTGTTTACTTGAAACTAAACTTCAACTGTCAAAAGTGCAGATTCCTGTAGTTTTAATTAATAATATGCATTACAGCAACCTGTCTATTACAGTCTGTAATTTACAGATAACTGTATTTAGTTCAGTCTTGTTGATAAGTAAAACCGGAAAAAAAAAATATTTTTAACCTAAAAATATTTGGGGAAAAATCACCCCAAAGAACGAAAGGCTGTAACTACAGAGTTGGCGATAATTTAGGTATAAAATTTGGATTTGTTGTAAATCCGTATAAAATCCGTATTGCCCCCAAAATCCGTATAAAAATCCGTATATTTTCCCAATACACTCGAAATTCCGTAGAATACGGAAAAATCCGTATATCTGGCATCACTGACTATAGTTAGAAGCGGTAACTGCACATTTAAAGGAAATTGACATTTTTCCGTAATATGAACCTAGGGTTAAAAATCTCTACTTTAATAAGGTATTAAATCGGTATTTTGTCAGTAAATGATTGAAATATCAAGTTATTTTTAGCGGTGTCTGTTACCAAACTGAGTTGGCAGAGCTATTAACATAAAAGTACCAATATCTCATGACAGCCATTATGTTAATTACCGCTTCTGCGCTTAGTACGGCAGTATAGTAAGGACTATATTTGTTATATGAAGGACTCCTGTTAGGAGTCCAAACAATTCTTGGGTTTATTTGAACAGTATTAAATTTTCATATACCTACCTAAAAAGTTTTTATTCAGTGTATTTACTGTATAACACTGTATAATACAGTGCTAAGTTTTTATTAAAAACAGCACTGTATAGTTTTAAACTATTAGTTTACCATGATACAAGGAAACATTTAGTTTACAAGTTGTAAATTACAACACATATTTTATATAAACAAACATAAATTTTATGCTCAAGTTTATCGGTTTTTGTTCTAATGAGAATTTGAACTGATGGCATAATGCGCATGTCATTTAAGTAATGTTCCCTATAACATTTCGCCATTTTAGCTGGTTTATTGGAATTCCGCCATTGTAGGTGATTGTTAAAGTGGCTGGTATGTATTTTATATTAATCCCATTTTATCTATAACTTAATTAAAAAGCTTTGCAAATATTGCCATCAAAGCATTACTAGAAAACTTACTTAAATTAAACTGAAAAAACGTTGAAATTCTGTTGCCGGTTTCCTTTTCAGTTTCGGTTCTTATTAATTATTTATTTAAAGTTATTTAACATGCTTTTAATTATAAATAAGTTATTTTAAATAAAAATATTGGAAGTAGTTTAAAATAATTTAATTTATTGGTTTAATAAATTGGTTAATTTTTCATTGTATCGAAAATCAATTTACGTCCATAGTTTCTTGAACTAAAAATACAAGTACCTACCTACTAATATATTTTAATATTGTTATTTTCCCATTTAAATTGTGTTTTATTTTTCAACTTAGGTAGGTATTTATTTATGAAGTAATGTAATAACTGTTTTTCTTTTTCCTTTAAAATATTTATGCTTATATAGGTATTATACAATACTGATATACCTACTAGGAAATATTATATTACCTGCAATAGTAGGGACTCTTAAAGCACACCTGGCTTCTTTTTTAACGTTTAAATGTTTTTACTTTTCATCAGTCTCATTCTTACAATAGTGGTGAGTGTAAGAACAAATTCTTCATACAAAAGGTGTAGTTAAGTTTTATTATAAAAAATTAGTTTTCTGTATTTTTAATAGAATTAATATACTTAGTATAGTATAGTAGGTATATTATTGGATTTTACGAATCATTTGAGATTAATATAATTGAAGAGTTCAATTCAAAATTAGAATCAAATAAATTTTCAAATTATTTAATTGAATAGATCAAATTATTATTATTAGAAAATTTAATTTTAAATTTACATAGGTATTGGAAAATTTCTTTTTTTCTGTAATAATTATTTTAATCAATTATTTGACAAAACTAATTTTAATCATGGGAATAGTTTAGATTTTTACGTTAAATTATAATTTTCTAAACTTCATATTGAAAATGATTGGCAAAACTTCCCTAGTAACTGTTTTTGTAATTTAACAATGGCAAATTTGTGTTAAAATGTTATATCTTTTACTACTCTATTAAAATTAAAGTAAAACATTTTATGTCCCTTCTATCCAGCTTCTTTGTAGTCCTACAAAAGATGATGAATGCAACTGTTAAATCGGTAGTTGGTTGTCTATTTTTGGAAAGAAACAGTTGCTTTTGTTAAAGAAAGAATCTGGTTTAAAAAAAATAGCTGGAAAATCTCAAAATGTAAATCTGTCAAAATTTTATAGTTTGTCTTTTCTGCCATTGGCAAAATTTATTTGGATCTTACCATTGACTTCTTTTGTCGTTTTTAAATATTAAATGTATACAGTCTATTACATGATTTTATTATATCATAGGTTTATAACAACTAAAACTATAAATTTATTAATAATTTGCTATTTATTTTATAAAATATTTTAATTTTAAGTTAGATTTTTTGGTTGCTGCTAAAGCTTGCAGAAAGTATATTTTGAATCCTTATAAAGAAAATTCAAAATATACTTTCTGCAAGCTGCCAAGCCAACAAATTTTTTTCCCCAAAAAACTGAAATCTAAAATAAATTTAAAAAAGTACCCAAAACTTATTAAAGCCTAAGAGTACCTTTAAAATAGACTAAAACCTAACATAGGGTTTTTGATTGACATACAAATTATTGCATGATTAATTGCCACTTCACAGTATTTTTCATACCTCCAGGTTAGCTCACATTGTACTACACTGGCACATTTCTTGGGACAACCTCATTGGTTTGATTTGGAGTTGGAGTCCCAGTCACCAAAAACTAAGGTAAATTCTAGTTTTTGGAAGATAATCTAACAAAAATTAATGCTTGATTTTTCCGCTAAATAACTCAACTTTTTCAGGGTGTTCAGTGGAAACCTGAATTACTAAAGAAAATGACAGAAAAAAATCTGATCTTGCATTTTTACTTTTTATCAATATATTTATATTTTTATTCAATTTTAATTAACTTGAAAAACATTTGATTTTACATGTTTATAAAAACGTTTCTACATAAAATTGCACATTCATTGTCTTTACTATTATTTTACATTAATAAGATAGTAAATTTAATTTACTAAATTATCATAATTTATCATAATAATTTAATTTAGTAAATTATCATAGCTTAAAATAATATTGTTTTTATGCAATAAATTATTTTTTTATACCTAGGTTGTTTAAAAAAAAAATAAAAAAAAATGATATATTATATATTATAGGATTAAATCCAAATTTTGTTAAATAATACATTGGCTTTTTGCTTTGCTATAATTTTATGGATTTTTATGTTGGTACTAACTATTGATTTTTTTTTAAAGGAAGAAGTTATGGATGCTATGACTCTTTTACATCAAAATCCGTCTCTGCCACCAAATGCTCATAAAAGGAAGGCTAATCGTCATAATACAATGCATGTTCAATCTGATAGATTAACTTTAGGCGATGAAGCAAAAATTGTAAGTAAAACATCATTCTATCATTTTTGTATTTGTTAAAATTTATCATCATATTAGAAATTTGTAGTATATTATAAAACGAGTGTAACAATGGCCCTTATTGTGATACCAAGTGAATAGTACGATTATAGCCTATTATTGTTAATTGAAGATTCTTCCATTATATAATTTAATGATTGATGAAAAAACCGCTAAAATATTCACATTGCTAATACAATCTAAAGCAACTCACTAAATGACAAAAACAGTTTTTCAAAAAACAGAATAAACAACACATAAAAGATTTCCTTCTGCGCCACGCAGAGTTACTTCCTAGGAGCTACTACATGGATTTTGTTTTTTTTAGTTATACTTCGTTAATTTTTAGAAAAATTAAAAAAAACAAATTAATACAAAATTTTGAAAAGATTGTGCAGATTTTTTAAAATCCCTCAAAAATAGGTGTCCCCAAATATGCCTTGAATCAGGACATACCTCTCAAGGTGGCAACACTGATTTCAAACATAATTTATCAATAATAGTACATTATAGACAAGGCGAAGAAAGCACATATTATCGCCAAGCATACATTTCACTGATGAGGTAATACTCGAGGCAGTAGATTGTGTTGTGAGAGGCAATTAATACGTTTAATATACTATTTTTTTAAATTTAATAATTTGTTAATTAATTTTATTAGGTTAGACTTAGTCTTATAATATAAAAATTATTGTATGCTTGAAAAGAAAAATTAAATAAATCTTAAAAAAAACAGTACAAATCTTAAAAAAACAGTTTGTTAATTCATGTTATGTTCTTTGGTTACTAGGTTGGCACAATTTACGTGAAGCGAAATGTCAAAATAAAATATTTATTGTCATAATAAAACGTCAAACTTTGTTTTGTTTATTTTGATGCTTCTAAGAGCTAGACCCAGTTTACATTTACTAATGATTTTATTTACATTTTATAATATAATTTTGATAAACAAAATCAGAAAAACGAGTTTAATGCTTGTAAGAAGCTCTTACCGTACCTTAAGGTACGGTCTATCTACTGCGTGCGAAGTACGCAATGCCCTAAAAAATATGCGTCTAAGAACTCTTAGTAGCATCAAAATGGACAAGAATTGTTATAATGGAATTGAATCGGTGAGTTCAAGAACAGTTATTAGTCCAAAATGTACAAGTTATTTTATAAAATCATTTTTTTTAGTTTTAAATGCATTTTTTGAGAATATTTTAACTATTGGGTCATTCCACGTTACTCAGTAATTTTTGTCCCGCCCGTCACAACTAAAAATTGTGAGTAAAAACCACAAGTTATTAAATTATTATGTTATAATATTATTTTTATTGTGCTAATAAGCTTATTACAAGCATTACAAACAATATTTTAAAATAAATTTAATAACGTGTGGTTTTTACTCACATTTTTTTATTGTGACGGGCGGGACAAAAATTACTGAGTAACGTGGAATGCCCCTATTTTATAAAATATAATAACCATATTTTGTACAATAGTTAAACCATTCGGCCATTTCAAGCGGATGGACGGGACAAATCACAAAACTGTTTTTATAAAAAAAATTGTAGGTAATTTATTATATATTATTTTTGCATCAAAATTGTCAAATATATTCTTCTATTATTAGGGTATACATTAAATAAAAAAAATCGCAAGAAATATTTTATAAAAGTAGAGATAATTTCAATAATTGACAGGGGATGGACAGGACAAGATAAATCTTTTTTTTGTCCCGTCCACACCTTTTAATTATTAAAATTATATCTACTTTTATAAAATATTTCTTGCGTTTTTAATGTATACCCTAATAATAGAAGAATATATTTGACAATTTTGATGCAAAAATAATATATAATAAATAATCTACAATTTTTTTTATAAAAACAGTTTTGTAATTCGTGCGTTTCGCGTGCTTGAAATGGCCGCATTCTCACAAACATGCATTGTAAACTATAAAAATAATTTTATAAAATAATTTGTCAAAATTTTAAATTTTGGACTTGTTCTGTTCTTGAACTCACAGATTAAATTATATTAAAGGTCCTAATGCTTTTTATTGTCATAACATTTACAGCATTTAAAACAATTTGAGTTATAACATTATAAACCATTGCAGGCCACATAACACATTTTATAAGTAAATAATTGTATTAGACATTTTATTTGGGTATTTACCCCATAACACATTAAATTTATGGTATACCATATGTTAAATAAACTTAAATTATAAACATATTTATTTATTTATCAGTGAAAGAAATGCACTTTTTAAATTATATTAAATATTTGCTATATACCCAGATAGCACAAAGAAGTACTAAAAACGTCCTGAGTATATCTTGTATCAGACATTAGTAAGTTCCGAGTACGTCCGAATCAGGTCCTGAACCTTCCCCAGGACGTTCCAGGGACATCCGATGTTACCAAATCGTCGGTCCCCAGAACGTCCTAAGTAGGACATCCTCTGGCCATCCTGAAATGCTTTATTGGGGACTAAAGGACAAGCTTTACAGAATTGAAGAGTGGTATTCCCAAAGGCCCAGACAGCAATATGACGTATTTTATTAATTTGTTAAATGGATTTTATTAAAATCATTTTAATAATTTGCTCGTATTCGCTTATTTTAGGAATTGCGATTACTTCGTCTCACTTTTGTTTAAATTTAAGCGTGCTCTTCACCGGCACCGATAGACGGCCTGTTTCCCTCTTTTGGAGCTCGTCAGTATCGAGTAGCCGTTTACCTAGGTCTAAGACCGTTTGGTATGAAGCACGCTCTAAATTCTACTTCGCCGCTTCTTATATCAAACACAAGCAGTTACAGCGGTGAGAAGAAAGAATCGCAATAAAATGTCATAAATGTGACGTCTCCAAGTTGACGTCTTAAAAAGTTAATAATATGATTTCAGTAAGAAGTAAGAAAAGATAATACTGTAAGATATCATATAACTACAGTTTAATTAAATAAATGATAATATATTATTTAACCAACTTGGCACTTAGACCCTTTGGAAACACAATGCTTCAATTACGTCCTTGGGACGTACCCAGTATATCCGCTATAATTTTCCCAAATAAGTAAGAGACTGGACGTACCCAAAACTTCCGATATAGGTCTAGGACGTTCGGACCTATGTGGGACCCAAAATGGACGTCCTGGGTACCTCTTGTGCTATCTGGGTACCTACTTAATTGTTGAAAATAATTGAATAAGAAAATTGGAATTTTTTGTTCTGAGGTGTAGAATTCGGAATGTCTTTCGAATTTATTGATTGATTCTATGAGTGCATTATTTTTTATTCTATTTTTAAAAATATGTCATTATTTTTTTTTAAGAGTGTAGAAAGTCATATTTGATCTTAGAAATATATTTTTTTTAAATTAATCTGTCTGATAGCATCTGAAATCTTATATCTATAGGGGTTTCTGAAGCTTCTATCTGAAGGATATTTGTCGGAGTAGAAATCATGCAACCAAGACAAATATGTATTTAAACCATATGTATTTAAAACATATGTTTTAAATACAGCATATGCTCTGAGAATACTCAGAGCATGTTTTAAATAGCATGCAGCCAAACTCAAGCCTGGACCTGATTAGCCCCCTCACGGTGCTGTTCTGAGAGGTGATTTTTGGACTTTCTGTGAAACCTAATTTTTTTTTATATTCTTGTTAATTAGGTCATAACTAAAATTTTAAAAGCAAAATAAAAAAAAATTGACGGTTTGAATTGTTTTAATTGGCTGTTTATTAAAAATATTATGCACTTTTTCAATTATCCAATTAAAACTAGCGATTTAATTTAAATATTTAATATTTGCATAACTAAAAAAAGGTTTTTACAATTTTTTTTATATATTTTACTGTTTTGTTGCAATAAACATTCAAACTTTAAATCTAACCTTTGACGTATACATTTATGTTCCCTTAATTAATATATCCTTAAAGGTTGCCATGAAACTTAGATCTATTAAAAATTTATTTGACGTTTGAATTGTCATTTTCAGTATACGTATTCTATAATTTTTGTTTAGTTTTTTAAATTGTTTTTTATAAACAAAAATGAAAAATTGTAGTAAAAGTTACGAAGAAATTCATGAAATTTAACTAAGGACCAGTTTATTCATCTTTAGTAAAGTTTATCGGGCCGATAACTTTCATGTCTTGGCAATATCTAGTATCCAAAGAAATTATTCGTCAAATAAATCAAAAATGAATAAATCGGCCCTAAATAAAATGTGGCACCCTTAGAATTATTGTTTAATAAATGTATACTATACATTTAACTAGGGATGCACCGGATCGGGTATTTTGCCGATCCGGCCGGAACCGGAATTTCGGCCGCTGGCCGGACCGGATCGCCGGAATTCCGGCCGGATCGGGACCTAAATTTAAAATGTATGTGCATGCCTATTTTTATACGTAAAACATTGAAAATATTGAGGCTTATTTATTTTTACTTTTTTTTAAACTAGCTACAGTATGCAGAGTGACTATTTTCAGAAATTGGTAATATATCTTCCCCAAATTCACGAAGTGGCGTATATGAAGATTTAAGTTATACAAAAAAGCAATTTTCTGAAATAAACGTTTAGCATTTTAAACGTTTATTCCAGAAAATTGGTTTTTTTTGCATAACACAAAACTTCAAACACCCGTATCGGAAGATTTGTGTTATGCAAAAAAGCAAATTTCTGGAATAAGTGTTTAGTATGCTAAACTTTTATTTCAAAAAATTACTTTTTTGCATAACTTAAATCTTCATATACGCCACTTCGTGAATTTGGTGACGATATATGTTGATAATAGGTGTAGGCTAAACTCTGAAAATGCCGAAAAGCTCTTATTTATTCACCATAATCTTAATAAAATAAATTATGAATACTAAGTTTCTCACTCTAATTTTTATGTAAACTGTATACTTATCTTATAAGACTTATCCATAACAGGGAATTTGGCTGTTATTTTTGCTGTTAGAATTTGGCTGTTAATAATGTTTTCAGTTATTATTTATGTTTTGTAATTTTTTGAAAGAAAATATATTTTTTTCAAAAATAAATTATTTGTGATTAACGACTTAACAATAGGTAGGTAAGTAGGCACCAATTAAAAAAAAACCTTAAAATAATTTTCTTTATTTTTGCATATATTTGAATTTAAATTATATTAAAAATTTAAAACTTAAACATTTTCAAAAAGTTCCGAAAATTCCGGCCGGAAAGCGATCCGGCCGAAGCGATCCGGCCGGAACGGTAGTTCCGGCCAACTGGCCGGATCGGCCGGATTTAGTGGTACCGCCGGAATTCCGGTGCATCCCTACATTTAACCTTAAATTAAAACTTTAAACGTGTATTACAACAAAACAGTAAAAGATATAAAAAATGTATAGACCTTTTTTTAGGAAATTAACTAATCTTTAATCTGATTTAAAAAGTTATGATAATATTAAAATAAAATCGCAAGTCTTAATTGGAGAATTGAAAGTGAGCATACATATTTTTAATAAACATCCAATTAAAACAAAATTAACCGTCAAATTTTTTTTATTTTGCTCTTAAAATTTAAGTTATGACCTAATTAACAAGAATATAAAAAAAATTAGGTTTCACAGAAAGTCCAAAAATCACCTCTCAGAACAGCACCGTGCCCTATATCTTAAGTTTTACAAATTTTTAATTTTTTGTTAATAAAAGCCCCTAATAACCATAAATAAATACGCTGAGATAATTTGTAGAGAAATCCAAATAAAAATATTTTTATATATGAACTGATTAGAGATGCGACTTGAAAAAAAAACGGTCCGTTTTTTTTGTTTTTTTTTCAGGTTTTTTTTCATTGTTTTTTTTTCAAATGGTTTTTTTCAATATTAGTTCCATTTGCCTAATTTTTTGTTTCCAGTCCAGTTCATGGACTAAAATTGGTCACTAAATGACAATTAGTAAATGTAAATACAGTCTCGCGCTATGCACGCGCCACCACCACCGAATTGACTAATAAGGGCCGCACTTGATTTTTCGAAAAGCTACCAAAAGCACTTTTTTCATGATTTTCCAAATTCATGTAGAGTATGGATTTATTTTTTAAACAATAGCAAATTCTTGTAGAACATGTGGTTAAGTCAGAACATTCCGTGGACCAGAAAGCCAAAAAAAAAATCGATTTTGTTATTAAGGTATTCGTTAGGATTGAGCGTTGCACGTTTTTCATCTAAAAATCTCAAAACTAGAAACTTCAAGCTTCATATTGCTTTTTTACGACCATTTTTAACAAAGATCTCAAGAATCGCAAAACATTTTTTTATCCTTTAATTTTTTGTATTAGTATAGAAGTTTTACATTGCTATTGTTTTCTAATGTGGAAACTACCAAATAATAAGAAATCAGATTTTTTAGTGTCAGTCAAAATTTTCAATAATGAAAAATGTAATATATTCTACATTTCACTTTATTATTAATATACATTTTACTTAAAATTTCATTTTGAAAAAAAAAAACAAAAAAAACCGTTTTTTTCTAGGTTTTTTTTTCATGTTTTTTTTCACATCTGAAAAAAAAACCGTTTTTTTACATCTCTAGAACTGATTTATATAAAGGATGTTCTAGTTTATATTATCAGAATTTCACCAGCCAACAGTTTATTTTTCTTTAAAGAAAAAGAGTTGATAATAATTAATTTGGTAGATTAAATAATTAATATTATATATAAATAATTTATATTATAAGGCAGGGGTTCTTAAACAGTTTCCGGCGCCCTTTGATTTATTTTCTTGTCTCCCAAATAATTATATTCTACTAGAAAGCCCGAAAAACAAAAAAAAAATTAAAAACGCTCAATATAATTTTGTTTTTCTAATTAAAGCGAGTAAAGAGGGGAGCCAGGCGGTCTTCCACTGCCCGCGCACAGTTTAAGAAATTTTATTATAAGGGATGTATTATATCCCTTCCTCAATAATCACCACATTTTCTTCCGCGGTGCAAAATAGTTTAACACGCGGTGTACTAGCAACAGCCTAGTTTAAATGCATACAAAATTTAAATAATTTAATTTTATATTTGAGAACAAATTTAATAAAAATTGTGATAAAATTCTGATGATATAAACTGTTTATTTATAGTTTTTATTGTGTTAAGATTCATAACCAACTATTACTATTTCTAATTCAAACTAACCTCCTGATGTCACCTTCAATCAGGTTTATTTGCAGGAGATGGCTTCGTTGCCCAGCAAAACGCCCGTCTCCGTGTTGCAAGAACTGCTCAGCAGGAGAGGAATCACTCCCAAGTACGAGCTAGTGCAGATCGAGGGCGCCATCCACGAACCAATTTTCAGATACCGCGTGTTCTTAAGCGCCGAGCTGGTGGCCACCGGCACCGGAAGATCCAAAAAGGACGCTAAACATGCGGCAGCCAAGAATTTGTTGGATCTGTTGGTCGGAAAACTTAGTCCCGAACAGGCCAACCAGACCAATGGTACTCCCGGCGCAAACGATATGTAAGTTGTAGTCTAATTACACTAGTTTACAAAATCGAACAAAAATTCTGCCCACCATATCCCATTATAATTTTTTCATGTATTTTGACCCACTAAACACTAAAATCACAAAAAAAAATTATGGAAGCGTTTTTGAAATATGAATTTTCAATTGTTTTTTTTTTTTAATTTTCGGAGGTGTTTTGACGTTTTTGAGTATAGCTTGAAATCTAATTGATCGATTTGGTCAAACAAGCTCTTAAATTAAAGGTATTTGAGCCCTCTAAAACTTTATTTTACATACTTTTGATATCGGATAAGTATTTTGACTCAAGCGATTTTAATAACTTAAAAAATTCGTTTTTATGGCAAAAATTGAGGTCGAAAATTTACATATCGTCCTGGGAAAGGTTTAAATCAAACAGATAACTCCAGTTTGGATTTGTTTCGTGAAGCTGACATTTTTACAAAAAAAAACAAGCTAATGTTGATAAAAATACATGAAAAAATGCCGAAGTTATGAATTGTTTAGTGGAAGACGATTGACGATTTTTATTTTATTTTTTTTCTTTTATTTCGTAATATGTTTAATTTTTAATGAAAACCTAATTAAAGTGCATGATTGGAATTTTTTAACTTTTTTATGTACTTTTTTCACCGAAAACATGTAAAATTTAAATTTGACATGACTCCGCAAACGCGAATTCTTTTGTTTTTGGTGTTGGTATAGTGACATTTTACTGCTAGGTATTTTTTAATAAAAAGTGTAAAATAAGTAAAAGAACTAGAGATTTTAAGTGCGTAAATAACCCGGACAATCTGGGCGACGTTAGTGATGAGCACGGAGAAGGTTTTCACCAGCAAATGAAGGCTATGGAGCGGCGGTATCCCGGCTTCTGGGATGCAGCCATGATGGGTGATTAGATTTGGTCCCTTATACGAGAAACGGAATACGAAAGCAACAAAAAACAAAAAAAGAGCCAGATTTATTTTAAACCTATGCTTATTACAACAAAATAAAACTTTCAATATCTCCAATGTTCAGTAATCGCCGGTGAGTCAGCGCTCGAACAATGGAGAGTGGTATGGAGCTTGCTGGAATATTCGAGAATGCAAGTATGCACTGAATATATAAGGAACGGCGCAGCATGGAGCAGTTAGTCAAGCTTTGGTACTCGCGACGAAATAAAATAAATATACGTGCAAATAAATAGGCTCTTGAACAGTAGTGATTTATAAATAATTAGTAGTTAAGTGTTTAGTTAGTTTTATAGTTTCATAGTGTTTTAAGTGTAATTAAGTTATAAAATAAATAGTTTAGTTCGTTAATAAACCAGTGCGTGTTAAAACGTTCCAATATTTATTGTTCAATATTCAATATACACTGTATATATATACTGTATAATTTAATTTGAATATTTAATGTTTAAAATAAAAATCAATGTTTAATATTAAACTTTATATAACTCAATAAAATTGAAAAAAAAACGTAAAAATTCTCGAAAAAACTGAATTTTGGTGTTTCACTGAAAAATTCATAACTTTGCCATTTATCCATGGATTTTTATCAACAGCAGCTTATTTTTTTCCTTTAAGTATAATCTATACGTAAAATAAATCAAACTGGACTTATCTTTTCGATTTCTATCTTTCCCAGAAAGATATGTAAATTTTTGACCTCGATTTTTGTAAAAAAGGACTTTTTCAACTTTATAAAATCGCCAGTATCGAACTACTGAGCCGATACCAAAACTATACAAGAGAAAGTTGTAGATGGCTCAATTCCCTTTGATTTAAGTGCTTGTTCGGTCAAATGGATCAATTAGAACTCGAAGTATACTCTAAAACGTCAAAACACCTCAGAAAATTCATATCACGAAAACACTTCCATGAAAAAATTTTGTGTGATTTTCGCGTTTAGTGAGCCAAACTACACAAGAAAATAATAGAGAGACATGGTGGGCAAAATGGCTGTTAACTAGTGTTAATAATAGTTACCTAATTCTAGTAAACACGCCTTTTTTACATTAAATAATATATAAACTAAAAAGTAAAAAGGGAATGAATTTGGTATTTCAAAAAAATGTTATAAATGTTATAAATCAAAGTAATTATAATATAATTTTTTCAGTACTGCTCAAGTGGTGTCCCCCTATGACGACAAAGTGATGGGCAATCCGATTGGCTGGCTCCAAGAGATGTGCATGTCGCGCAGGTGGCCACCACCATCCTACGAGATGGAACACGAGGAAGGTTTGCCGCACGAAAGGCAGTTCACAATTGCTTGCCAAGTGTTGAAGTTCCGCGAAGTGGGAACCGGAAAATCGAAGAAACTAGCTAAAAGGATGGCCGCGCACAAAATGTGGCAGGCGTTGCAAGATCTACAACTGGAGAATGCGGTGTTGCCTGAAGGCGAAGAAGATGATGTAAGTTAACTTTTTGATTTGATTTAGCGTGTTCCTGAAATTTTGGACTCTATATTAAAAGTTGTTTTTATCTAGTTCAACTAAAGTTTTAAATTGGCGAAAAACTAACGGAAAAATTGGGGGGAAAGCCTGTTTTTTCCCAGGCCTTGGAAAAATTCTCTGTTTTGGGAAAAATTGATTTTTTTGTTTAGAAAATATATCTACACTTTAAATTTTTAAAAATACCCTTTATTGCAGAAAAATTAATGATATATATAAAGTTAAATTACCCTTAGAATAAAATGAAAAAAATGCAAAAGTCAATTTATCTTAAAATTTACCAATTTTTATTAAACATGGTTTTTCCCCAGAAAAAAACGGTTTTTTTCAACTGGTTCAATTTTTCTACTGGGATAATAAGATTCAACATTATTTTCATCACAAAATTTTCAGTGTAAAGTTTTTAGATCTAAATTGCTGCATACTTTATGTATTTTTATATATGTATAAAGGTTTTAATTTAGATCACAAAATATATATAATTTAATTTAACTTAGATCACAAAATATACATATTATGTTGTATTATTTTTAGAAATTAGCGTCAAACCGACAGATAGATAAGATCAATTACTTGTATTTAAATGTAAAAGTATAAAACATACATATAAATAATCTTCTAAATGTCTAATATTTTCAATTTATTATTACACTGTGCGACAATTTTCGGGTCATCGAAATCAAACCGTACCGGACTATTTTTTTCTGAAAATATACCTATCCAATAGCAAAAACTTCTTCATATTAAAACATTGAGTAATCTGATCCATTTCTGAAGAATTCCATCCCTTCCACATCTCCTTTATTTTTTTTGTTCTTCATTTTTATTTTCTTCCTGATCGTGGTCAAAAATATGTTTACTCCACCAAAATGTTTCGGCTAGTATGGCATCTGGAGCTCGTTTTCCTCTGTATCTGGACTCAAATGGCAGTTTGATAATAAAGCTCTCCCTGTTCATCTGATTCTGTCGATAACTGTCAACTAAAGTACTTAATCCAAATACAAAATATAAAATCAAACTTTTCAAAATATCTTTTCACACTCAACACAAAATTTTTTTAAACATTGTTTTTCAGCAAATAAGCAAACTTTTATAAATTACTTCTTGTAGTACATTTTACAACATTTTTGCCAGAAGAAATAGCAAGAAATTTTTAATATTAAAATGGGTTTATTTGTTCAGTAACTACATTTCTACAAAAATTCTTAATAAATCGAATATATGCGAAAAAATTGATTTATAAGTCTATAAATTGGGGTATATGAAGCTCGAAAATACAAATAGCTATAAAAAAATTCGAGCTAACTTTAAAAAAACCCAACAAGGGTTTTGCTGTAGGATAGGTATATTTTCAGAAAAAAATAGTCCGGTGCGGTTTGATTTTTGGTGTTGCACAGTGTTATTAGTCTGCTCTAATTACTATAACCAGTTAATTTAAAGTTTTTAAAAATATCATGTCACTCATTTTTTGCTTAACTTTTGTAAATGTCCTTAAATTTAACATATTAATTATAGGTGAACACTTCCTCACTTCAAACCTAAATGTTTTATTAATACTATACAGAGTGTCCCATTTGTTTGCGACTCACCCCTGTAAAATCTTTATTTATTGTGCGATTTTAACCGGATTTGTTTTTAAGTGTAGATCTGTATTTTTGGAGCAAAAAACGCCATATTTGTACAAAATACAATTCCTACTATGTCAGTTTTTAAGAGTAAATTTTTAAGAATTCATATTAGCGATTTTTTTAAACAAAATCTAAGCACCGCACTGGATTCACCACCCCTCAAAATGACCCTATACTAAATTTTATAAAAAAAAATTTAAGTAGAAAAATGCACAATAATAACTACAAAAATTTATTCTGTCAAGTTATCCATGAAAAAACATTGAAATAAAATTAAACTTATAGTAATAGTACCATGTTACTATTAGTTTAATTTTATTTTAATGTTTTTTTTCATGGATAATTTGACAGAATAAATTTTTTTAATTATTATTGCGCATTTTTGTACTTAAAATTTTTCAATAAAATTTAGTAAAGGGTGAGTCCAGTGATGTGCTTAGATTTTGTTAAAAAAATCGCTAACATGAATTCTTAAAAATTTACTCTTAAAAACTGACATAGTAGGCCTTGTATTTTGTATAAATATGGCGTTTTTTGTTCCAAAAATACAGTTTATCAAGATCCACACTTTAAAACAAATGCGGTTAAAATCGCACAATAAATAAAGGGGTGAGTCGCAAATAAATGGGTCACACTGTATATAACAAAAACATTATTTATACATTCTTTGTCCCACCCATTAGTCAGTGAATGGCCAAAATGTCTGATAAATTATTTGAATAATGCGTGTTTTCGTTACTTATAGCATTAATAAGATATTTAGGTATGCAGTAATTAAGTGTTCACCAATAATTATAATTAAATGATAATTTTAAAGATATTTCAAAAAGTTAACCCAACTATGAGGCAAAATGTCCCTCCCGTTACTTTAGTACGACCGCAAGTCCCTGACGTCTCCTTGGCGGTAAAAATACTATGAACCACAGTCTTTTCATTTAACAGACGGACTAAAACAAATACAACTGAAGCGCGTGTTTGAGACATTTGCAGGTGGCCAGCGCGGTCCTTATTGGTGAATTCAAGTTTGTCGAGATTCTCTCCTCATTCAGTCATTAAGTGCATTGAGGTATTCAGTCTGGTGCAGGTCAAACAATAATGACGCAAAAACACATTTTCTTATTTAAATAGTAGAGTAAAAAACTGTTGAAATTAAAATCATACCAGATTCTTCACAACCCATTTTGATAATTTAAGACAAGTATTATGAAGCAAACAAACATAATGTGATAAGACTTTAATAAATTTTTACAATTTTTGAAAACACAAAATACCAGATTCTAACTAATAATAACTAAGTTTTACCTTATAGGATTAAGTTATAATTTACAAAGGCTTTGACAATAACTCTGTAACCCCCTTTAAAAGAGAATTTGCGCATCGAGGATATTAATAGAATTTAGCTTATGAGTAGACAAAAATCTTTTTTTCTTTCTAACTTTTTATTCTATCTTGTGGGAGATTTGGTCTTAAGTTCATTTTGACTCTTACTGACCTACTAGTACTACAGTGGCTTTCTGGGTTAAATAAGTCACTTAAATTTCACACTCATTAAGCAGATCTTTACGCCACCAAAGACACGGTCAAACTATAACCACAAATCGCAGGGCCAATTCAAATGCAAAGTTTGGGTCCCAAACACTAATGACATAAAAAAACACGATACGATTTTCATTTATTACGTGTTATGTCCGTGTGGTTTTTCCCTAAATAAATGCATCCATATTTTTGTTTGTATATCTTTAGCTTTAAATACGGCCCTAGGGTAGTCAATCTTTTCGTTTTAGTTTTATATAGTGCGAGATTTTAATAATTTTAGTCCGTCTGTTAAATAAAAAGAATGTAGTCCAATTATATAATATGTATATTTTTTGGATATTTGTTTAATGTTGTTTATATTTTTGGTTAGGGAGTTTTTACTATCTTTCACCTTAACTTAACCGCAACAATAAATCACGAAAAACATAAAAGAAATTGAAATGATAAACAACAAGAGAATATAATAAACACATGAAAGACAGTAAAAATTACCCCGCCCATTTATATATCAGATGTCATTTCAATTTTTTTTTGTTTCTTTATAGTTGTCTAAAATTACTAACATCGAGGGAAGGTACACTTTGTTGAAAGATAGTAAAATTAAAAAAATGAGCAACGCTACCACACAAAAAGTGGCACAGTTCCATAAAGGATTAAAACAATCCAATGGAATTAAATTAAATGAATTGCAGGTAAAGCAATTTTATTAACATTATAATAAGACAAATTGCATTCATTGTTTCTTAAATTTTACCTAACAAATGTTTTATTTTTAACAGAAAATCCCTCTAAATATAAAAGACATAAACTTTGTGGAATTGTTGAGTGAGATAGCCCAAGAGCAGTCGTTTGAAGTGACTTATGTCGATATTGAAGAGAAGTCGTTTTCCGGCCGTTGTCAGTGCCTTGTGCAGCTATCAGTATTACCTGTAGCCGTTTGCTACGGCACTGGTGCGACTCCGAAAGAGGCCCAAGCTCGTGCTGCTCATAATGCATTGGAGTACTTGAAAATTATGACTAAAAAATGAACTGAACGAGAAGAAACCACCATGTAATTAAAACAAAAATCCTCGTTATTTTGTGTAATAAATTCAGCCACCCAAAAATATGACGTTTGTCGCTGGTGCGGTGCAAACGTCATTTGGGGCTAGTGCTTTTCTTCTCGAAATCAGTCACTTTTTTGCCACTAATTTTTTTATACAAATTATTTTTAATAAGGACTATGGGACATTTTTAAACAATATATATCAAGAATAAATCATTTTGTATGTTGCAAAAACATATTATTAAGAAAAATATTGATATTTTTCAATAATTATTCCTAAGTGAACACATTTTAAAGATTAGCAAAAAAAATATCTTGACTTTTTATTTTTTTGTTGGTATTTTTTTACCTATTTTACAATGAGTTTTAATTATTTTAAAGATGCTGATATTGATGTGTATTATTTAAAAATGACCCAAAATGGAATGAGAAGAATAGTATTAATAAATTAATTTACAAGCTATACTTTGCATAGAATTAGTGGTTTTTTTCGAGGATATTTTACATATTAAATGTGTTTTATTTTATTAGTTGTATCTATAATATGCACTTAGTAAATATTGAATCAGATGATAAATTGCAAAATCATTGAATCCAGTGATTTATCAGCTCGGTTTTTAGGAATATTTAAATGGTGTTTATTATGTAATATTAATTAATAATAATTAGACTAGCTTTAGTAATCTATATAGGCACTAGTGTAATATGTAACTTCGTAAATTCATACGACAATGTACACAAATTTGTACATTGTACAGGGTGTTCATTAAGATGCGCCATTTTCTCGAACTCGCTGTATATCTTGGATGTAATATTTACCTATATGATAGTGCCCCATTACGATATGTATAATCGTTATATTGTGAAAAGGGAGCATTTATTTAATGCAAAGTATAGAGGTTGTACCCATTGTTTTCTCATAATTAACATATATGTCAATAGAGGTGTCATTATTACCTAGATAATTTATCCAAGCATGTCAGTGTATCTAATGGTATTTAGTTTATAATATAGTTATTTAGTTATGATTCATATTGATGTGTATGCTAATTAATAAATATACCTATAATATGGCTTACATTAATATTTTTATTTCCACAAAGGATTTTACATGATGTCCATTTAGTTAATAAATGTTTTTTGACCAGTGCAAAAAAAAATTTAAGGCACAAGTCGATACCTGTTTAATTTTAGAGGTTTATTATAGTTGGAATGACCAGGTTCTAAGTGCAGCTGCACTGCTAAGCGAAAGTGACTACATCTACAATATTAAATATGCCATGCTCAACATGGCAACTGCACCTAGAACCTTGTCATTCTAAGGTACCGATTAACTATTAAATTACAATGGCTAGGTAAAATATCAAGTCACTAGAGAAATTTCCCTGGACAGCATTCACAAAAAATCTGCCGTACCAAGCAAGAAGGTTGTAACTAAACTTTAGCTGGTTTTGAGTAATTTAAGACTAACCCAGATAATATGACTTCAATTTTTAATTTCAAGCAAGTTGCTGGATGTTACTTGTAAATTCATTCATTAAAAGGTGCAATTAAGAAGATTAGGTATATTCTTCTTAGGTACAACTTTAGAAAATGACATTAACCACTAAAAAGCGGCAATTACTTTTTTCGAAATGTATAAAAATTAATGGTCGAATCTGGAAAAAACAATTTTTTTAATAAATAAAATTTAAGAACTGAAAACAAATTAAACCACATAGTTATTGGACACTTAAAGAATATTATTTATTAATGAATAGGTATGAATTTTCTCAATGATTTCGGTAATGTAATGTAATTATTTTTTCTGTTGACTACTGGATAAATAGAGATATTTATATATTTAAAATTTTTAATATGCTGTTGTAAAGATTTTAATTTTTTTCTTATAAATATACAAGGTGTCCCTAAACTTATTGGCATAAATTTAGGAAAAGATTGAGCAAGTAAAAATAAGTCGAAAACCTAAATAAATATTTTTCCTAATTACTTATGTTTCCAAGATACAGGGTGATAAAGTGTTTTTTTATAAAAAGACTACCATATTATAGGTTATAGAGGAAGTGAGGGTATTTTGGAATAGTAGTTTAAAAAAAAATAGCAAAAAATTTAAATTTAAATTATTTCGATTAAAATAAATAACATGTCCAAGATCTACATTTGTACTATGCCATACGAAAATTTTAAATTATTTAAAATACTTTAAAAGGATTTTTTCACTAATGAAAAAAAAAGTGTAAAAAATCTCTGTTTACGTAACATGAAGTTAATTTGGAATACCACCAATTTGGAATATTTCAAAGTAGCAGCAAATGTTTTATATTAAAAAGTTTAATAAAACATTTTAAAAAGGTAACCAAATATTAATTAAAAGAGAAAATTGGATTAATTATCAAATATTACAAAAAATGAATATAATTTGGAATATTTAAAATTTGCATTATTTATAGTATTCCAAATTAGCAATATAAAGACCTACGCCATAATATGTAAAAAAAAAGTAAATGCTTTAACATATCGAAAAAGTACAATTAACAACTAAAAATATAGCCCTTTACTTACCTGAGGACAGAGCTGGGCAGTAATTGACTTGAAAGTGCTTGAAAAAGTGCTTCAAGCACAATAGTGCTTCGAGCACAGTGCTTGCAAGCACTTTTAAAATACAGTGCTTGGTAATTGGTAATTGAAGCCCTTTATAAAAAGTGCTTGGTAATTGGTAATTGAATTTCGCATTTCAAGCCATTTGAGTGCTTGCAAGCACTTAAAAGGCTTGCAAGCACTTTAAAGGGCTTGCAAGCATTTAAAGTGCTCCCGAGCACTTTAAACTCTAGAGGGAAATGCCCTTAGTAACAACCCTGTGGTTTCATCATGTGATTGGTTGGTTGAAGGCCGACTTGGCCAGTACCTTTCTCCTTCTTGCAGATAATTTGTACTTATTTTTTGATGATTTCTTCACTTTAATTGTTTTGCGTCATGTTGTGTGGACTAATAAATTAAAAACAAAAAACTTTGGTTTGGTTTGGTTATTTTAATATAACGATCATCCAAAAATGTTTCTTATTTTTAAAATAAAGATGTTAATTAATTGGGTAGGACGCAATTGGAAAACTAAAAAGTGCTTGGTAATTGGTAATTTATTTAAGAAAAAAGTGCTTGCAAGCAGTTTTTGAGTAATTGGTGCTTGGTAATTGAATTTTTCAATTACTTTTCTCGGTAATTGGTAATTGCAAGCACTTAAAGTTTTCAAAGTGCTTGATGCTTGGTGCTGGCAATTACTTTTCCAAAGGGCTTGGTGCTTGGTGCTCGAAGCACTTTTTTTGAGTGCTTTGCCCAGCTCTGCCTGAGGATACAATTTAAGTTAATTAAAAGATAAAAATCGAAGCTATGATTGCCGATTTAATTACCACTAAAAAAGTTTTAGTTACCCCACAAATAATTTTTCACATGTGTTGGCCCTCTAACATAAATCAAAATATCTACAAAATCACATGTCCACAAAATACAGGCTATTCTAGTAGTTTATTTCATATTTAACGAGATGGCGCTAAGCATAGCCTCAATATTTAAGTATTCCAAATTACCAACAGTATTCCGAATTACCCCCACTTCCTCTATTATAATATAAGGATTAAAAGGTATATGATAACAAATTTTATTTTTTAATTGAAAAAACTAAAAAAGGCATTCCATTAGCCTCGGGACGTTTTGCCCTGACCGTGAAATTAAAAAAATTGTAGTTTTTTCAATTAAAAATTTGTTTTTAGTCCCTGCGATATAAAGATTATTGAAATCTCGAATATATCGGAAACGGTTTATTTTATCAAAGTTTAAGAGGTAAACCTTTTTAATTTCACAAATGATCTCATCAAGAACTCAGGATGAGCTCGGCAATGATTTAGCTAATGAGCTCCAGGTGAGGTCCAGGTGATTTCACAGAAATGCATTTGATGTCATAGTGAGTTCACTGTGAGCTCACGCGATGATTATCACTGAGTGATTTTTTAATGAGTCATAAATGTTATCTGGGTAGACTTGAACGCAAGAAGTGCTCCTCCAAGTCTACTTCTGCCTGTAGCTATTATGTCTCTATCTCTACGAAAAACTTTGTATTCACTGGATACAGAGCTGGGCAAAGCACTCAAAAAAGTGCTTCGAGCACCAAGCACCAAGCCCTTTGGAAAAGTAATTGCCAGCACCAAGCATCAAGCACTTTGAAAACTTTAAGTGCTTGCAATTACCAATTACCGAGAAAAGTAATTGAAAAATTCAATTACCAAGCACCAATTACTCAAAAAGTGCTTGCAAGCACTTTTTTCTTAAATAAATTACCAATTACCAAGCACTTTTTAGTTTTCCAATTGCTTCCTACCCAATTAATTAACATTTTTATTTTAAAAATAAGAAACATTTTTGGATGATCGTTATATTAAAATAGAGACCCTGTTAAAACCGATAGATATTTGTATCGGAATGTATGGTGTTTCTATAGGGTGTATCGGTATGTATAGGACCCATAGTTGGGATTTATGGTTGTTCTATAGGGATATCCACCCTTGATTTATTTGATATTGGTTTTAATGGGGAAAATACACATAAATATAAAAATTAGTATTTCCCCCATAGGACCCCATAGGTTTTAATAAAATTTTGTCAAATGTTTTATGATTGTTCTATAGGGATATCCCTATATATCCTTCATTGAATTATTTTCTATCGGTCTCTATAGGGAAAATGTAAAAGTTATGGTGTGCCTATAGGTAATTTCCTATAAATTTTCTATCGGGCCGTATCCGGAAAAAACCATGGACAAATGCACATATTGAATACGGTAGCGCCCGATAGATTATTTTGTATAGGTCTCTATGGGGTATTTTAAGCAGGGAATTAAAGTGAAGAAATCATCAAAAAATAAGTACAAATTATCTGCAAGAAGGAGAAAGGTACTGGCCAAGTCGGCCTTCAACCAACCAATCACATTAAAGCTTATGCTGCACCGCACACCGCATTAGATGATGATGATGAAACCACAGGGTTGTTACTAAGGGCATTTCCCTCTAGAGTCTAAAGTGCTCGGGAGCACTTTAAATGCTTGCAAGCCCTCAAATCTGATAGTGCTTGCAAGCCCTTTAGTGCTTGCAAGCCCTTTAAAGTGCTTGCAAGCCTTTTAAGTGCTTGCAAGCACTCAAATGGCTTGAAATGCGAAATTCAATTACCAATTACCAAGCACTTTTTATAAAGGGCTTCAATTACCAATTACCAAGCACTGTATTTTAAAAGTGCTTGCAAGCACTGTGCTCGAAGCACTATTGTGCTTGACGCACTTTTTCAAGCACTTTCAAGTCAATTACTGCCCAGCTCTGACTGGATATAATTTCTTCACTATTAATGCTATCAGTTAACCCAGTTTCAACTAGACACAAAAAATCATATTCACCGTCACAAGTTCCTAAATAAAAAGCTTCTGTTTTAGATCTTAAACCTCTAACATTTTGGTAGTATATGGAAACAAGACTATTGGGCTCAGTTAGTTTAAAGTAACTATTTGTGGTTTTCCATTGATATATTTAATTTTTAGGTTTGTTTCTCCATCTGCATGTCTTCTATCAAGTTCAGATTGAACAGTTTTGTAATAGCTTATCAGGCGCGGAGTTCGATCGAGAGAAATACTTATATTTTGAAACATAGTACTGTCCTTAAGTTTCTTTCCATTTTTCACTGTCTAGGGTAAGCTTGATGGGGCGCGAGTTGGATTTTGTTGTTATCAAACTTGCCCAGTCTAAATGGACTTATGTTTTCGGTTGGAACTTTATTATTTACATACTGTAAAATATTTTTTATTGTAGCTAAGTCTTTTTCATTATTTTGTTGTTTTAATAAATTATTATCTTCTTTTAATCCAAAGATAACAATGTTAACAAATGAGCTCATTTACTTCATAAATTATGTATTCAAAATCGACGGATTTATTATCAGAGCTGACATCTTTAAGGGACTTCAACGATTCAATTTCTTTTTGTAGCGTTATTACCAGAGCTTTTAATTCATTTAATCCCTCTCCAATTTTTGAACAGTTAT